TACGATTAATGTATTATTCGGGATAGATTCTCAAATGTTTTTTGTTACAACATCTATTACTTTATCGATAGCAGAAAATAGATTTTAACATAAATAAAATAATCGCATTCGCGTAGTTATCGTTGTTATTTATTTTCTCATAGTTACAATACCTACTTACTTTAAACAGTGGTAGAGCCAGCTTTAACATCTTCGCACGAATCGGCCCGGCTCGCCCGGTGAAATACTACGACCACACAGAAGACACGCGTCAAATGGAAGAAATTCCGCGTTTCGTCTGATGAGTGTGCGTCCCGGAGGCCTAATTTAGTCCTCTTTCCCTTCCTACCCTTTTTCTCATTAGGAAAGGATGGGAAGTGGAAGTAGACTTTCCGGATGAGAGGATGCATGGAAGGGGAAAATATTTTCTCTCTGTGCATCCTCTCCCCCGTCGATTAAAGGTACACAACGCATATGCATTTGCGTATGTCTATGGGCAACGGTCACTTCGCTATTTCAGCGATTTCTGGTGGCCGCTCGCTCGTTAGCCGCCTTATGATATAAAAAAAAATACCTTAATAAAATTTATGTGAAGTTCAGGTTTATCATATCAACGTTTACTCCTCCATATAATCAAAGCTTGGGCGTCTTCCTACCAGAGAATTAATACACTTTGATGCTTATCACGGTCTTGATATCTATCCGATTCACCAAAGGTTTTTCGGTCGTAAGTATGTAAGTTTTTTAATGTATGTTGGTTTGTATAATCGTATGTAAATTCCTTTGTGACGGCCTAGAGCCTATAATCTAAACCAATTTGTCGAGGGGATGTCATTCGATTAACCATCTTCCCCAGAGTACCATAAGCACAATACACATACAGTTGACGTAAAAACTAAAATTCTATATTACATACTGAAAACAGTTGTGGAGAGTTCGATTCTCAATCGATGTAACTTTTTTACATTGCTTTATCATTTTCTCTGTTTGTGAGTTTATTCTAAAACGCGAATATGCTAGTTAACAACACAGTTCAATTTCTTAAAAAAAAGACTCAGTTCTAAAATGTAGCCAATAGATGGCGGTATACTCGTATGACACATTTGAACCTAGTCAATAGGATTTTTTTGGAATTTTTAAAACTAAGGTTAGATTATAGTTTATAGTCCATAACGTTAACATTCATATGTAAATATTTTCGTTGAATCTGTTTCCATGAATAATATTAAAGGAAACAGATTCAACGAAGCTCCTTTTCTTTTGAAAGACATGGGCTGGAATGAGTGGGACTTAGTGGCGAGAGGCAAGCGTGCCATGCAGTAAGAGTTTTAGCTGTATTAACACCCTGGGTGAGATTTCTACTGCGCCCTCTTCTACCATGCCTTGTGCTAACAGGAATAGGATACTGTAAATCGCTGAGTTGCGCCGCCCTTTCTGTTTGGCGCCCTGGGTGATCGTCCAACCGCGCCCTACCCAAACGCTTGTACTGAATATTTATTAAGTTATTTTAGCATAGGACCAAATTTGCCACCAGATCGTACCACCGAAATATATTGACGTGTAACACTGTTATCTCAACAATTACCTTAAAAGAAACTGTCTTAATAGTAACAAAGAAATTATGGATTAGCATTTTTTATCAAAATTAACAAAAATGATAATTTCACAATAATGCGTTTATAATGTCTTTAATATCGCTAATAGAATAATTATATGATTCCATTATAATTATGCCAAATGTTCCAAACTAAACGATTTTGTATAAATAC